ACGACGCGCGAGTTCAGCGAATCACGCGGGTGGAACTACCCGGTCCTCGCGGGCAAGGGGAGCCCGTTCAACGCGGACATGGGCTTCGCGCTGGAGGACGGGCGGGTGCTCCCGGGCGTCAGCTCGTTCCACAAGAACCCCGACGGGACGATCGACCGCGTCGCCTTCGCGCACTTCGGGCCCGGTGACGATTTCTGCCCGGTGTGGCCCTTCCTCGACCTGCTCAAGGACGGGGCGAACGGCTGGCAGCCGAAGTTCACCTACGCGTAACGCATGCGTCTTGTCGTGCAACGAGTCAGCGAGGCGAGCGTCCGGATCGATAACGAGGTCGTCGGTGAGATCGGCGCCGGGCTGTGCGTGCTCGTGGGCTACGCGACGGACGACGGGGACGGCGTCAACGCCTGGGCGGTCGACAAGCTGACGAACCTCCGCGTCTTCGAGGACGAGCAAGGGAAGATGAACCGATCCGTCGAGGACGTCGGTGGCTCGATCCTGCTGGTCCCCAATTTCACGCTCCTGGGGGACGCGCAGAAGGGGCGCCGGCCCTCGTTCACCCGGGCGATGGAGCCGCGTCGGGCCGAGGGATGCTTCGAGCTGCTGGTGTCGATGACGCGCCAGATGGGCGTCCCCGTCGCGTCCGGGCGCTTCGGGGCGGACATGAAGGTTGAGCTGACCAACGACGGGCCGATCACCCTCGTCATCGACTCGCCCGGCCGGCTTTCGCTTCCCGACACTCCCTCTTGATATCAGTCGGACCGCTCGATGCGGGAACCTTCGCCCCCGACTGCAACGTGGAGCCGGAATCGGACGATAATGTCCCCTTCCCGAGCTTCCGGAGTCTTCCCCTACCGTGGACCTGAGTTCCTTTCGCCCCCGCCCCCCTCGGAAATGGCCCTCGCGCTTCGTCCCGAAGCTCGTGACGTGCCTGCGCGAGGGGTACTCGGGGCGGACGTTCGCGTCGGACATGCTCGCGGGGCTGACCGTCGCGGTGATCGCGCTGCCGCTGGCGATGGCGCTGGGCATCGCCAGCATCCCGCAGAACGTGGCGGACGAGCTGCGCGCGATCCACCCGTGGCTCACGCCGCCCGCGATGGGCCTGTTCACCGTCGTCATCGCGGGGCTCGCGATCTCGACGCTCGGCGGCTCGCGGACGCAGATCGGCGGGCCGACCGCCGCGTTCATCCCCATCGTCTTCGGGATCGCGGCGGAGTTCGGCTACGCGGGGCTCGCGCTGGCGACGATGATGGCGGGCGTGCTCGTGATCCTCATGGGCCTGTTCCGGTTCGGCTCGCTCATCAAGTACATCCCCTACCCGGTCACGACCGGGTTCACAGCCGGCATCGCGGTGACGATCATCGCCTCGCAGATCAAATCGTTCCTCGGGCTCACCGTCCTGACGGACGAGGGGACGCCCGCGACGATCCCGGCGGAGGTCGTCCCCAAGCTCTCGCTCCTGTTCGAGCACATCGGCACGATCAGCTGGCACTCGGCCGGCGTCGGGGCGGGGTCGCTCGCGCTGCTCATCGTTCTGCGCAGGCTCGCGCCGCGCGTGCCCGGGGCGGTCGTCGCGGCGACGGGCGCGGCCCTCGTTGTGTGGCTCTTCGGGTGGGCGGGGCAGACCGAGACCCTCGTGGGCGGGCACACGCGCCCGCTCGTGGAGACGATCGGGACGCGGTTCGGCTCGCTCCCGTCGTCGCTCCCGCCGCCCCGCGTCCCGGAGGTCGACCTCGCGATGATCGGCGCGCTCATGCCCGCGGCGGTGACGATCGCGATCCTCTGCGCGGTCGAGAGCCTGCTCAGCGCGGTGGTCGCGGACGGCATGACGGGCACGCGCCACCGCTCGGACCAAGAACTGGTCGCGCAGGGCGTGGCGAACATCGGCTCGGCCTTCTTCTTCGGGCTCCCGGCCACGGGCGCGATCGCGCGCACCGCGGCGAACATCAAGAGCGGCGGCAAGACGCCTATCGCGGGCATCGCGCACGCGCTGTTCGTGCTCCTGGCGATGGTCGCGCTGGCGCCGATCGCGAAGCTTGTGCCCCTGCCGACGCTCGCGGCGATCCTCATGATCGTCGCGTGGAACATCGCGGAGGTGCACCACTTCCGCTCGCTCCTGCACGCCCCGTCGCAGGACGTGATGGTCCTGCTCGCGACGTTCGCGCTGACGGTGTTCGTCGACCTGACGGTCGGCGTGGGCGTGGGGATGGTGCTCGCGTCGTTCCTGTTCATGAAGCGGATGTCCGAGGTCTCGGGCGTCGCGGCGCTGCGGGCGTCGGGCGACGAGGAGAACGGCGAGGGCCCGACGTGGCGCGACACGGTCGCGCTGCCGGAGGGCGTGGAGGTCTTCGAGATCAACGGGCCGTTCTTCTTCGGCGTCGCGGACCGCCTGCAGGACGTGCTCCGCCAGTTCGAGAAGTCGCCCAAGGTCTTCGTGCTCCACCTGCGGAACGTGCCGCACGTGGACGCCACGGCGATGCACGCGCTGGAGGAGTTCCACGTGCGGTGCAAGAAGGAGGGCTCGACGCTCGTGCTCGCGGGCGTGAGCGACCGGCTGGTCTTCTACCTGTGGCGGGTGGGCGTGCTCGAGCGGATCGGGCAGACGCACATCTTCCCCACCCTCGACGCCGCGCTCGCGCACGCTTCCGAGCTCGTCGGCCCGCCCGCGTTGCCCGCGACGGTATCCTGAGGCTCATGCCGCAGCGCCTCATCGAGATCACGGCCCCCGACGACCGGCGCGAGCGCATCCGCACGATGCTCGAGCCGATGGGGATCACGCGTCTGAGCGTGGTGGACGCGGAGGACGGGCTCTCACGGTTCACGATCGTGACGGACGCGGAGAAGGTCGAGTCCATCCTGGACGCGTTGCGGGCGTGGATCGGCGAGAACGCCGGCGTCTTCGCGCACGTGCTCGCGGTCGAGGCCGTCGTCCCCAGCGCGAGCGCGGAAAAGGCCAAAGCGGAAGAGGAGGCGGCCGAGAACGGCGAAGAGGCCCCGATCGTCGAGAAGTCCCCCGCGCGCGTCGCACGCGAGGAGCTGCACGATGACCTCGAAGAGGGCTCGACGCTCTCGGTGAACTACCTGCTCTTCACGGCGCTCTCGACCGTCGTCGTCGCCATCGGGCTCATCCGCGACAACGCGGCCGTCGTCATCGGCGGGATGGTCATCGCCCCGCTCCTCGGGCCGAACATGGCGCTCGCGCTCGCGACGACGCTTTACGACAAGGCGCTCGCCGTGCGATCGCTCAAAACGAATATCGCGGGCGTCACGCTGGCCGCGGCCATCGCGGCGGTGTTCGGGCTTTTTTTCAACCCGGATCAGGAGATCGTGCAGATCACCGACCGCACGAGCATCGACCTGACGGATCTGCTGCTCGCCCTCGCCGCCGGCGGCGCGGGGGCGCTGGCGTTCACGACCGGTGCGCCGGCCTCGCTCGTAGGCGTGATGGTCGCCGTCGCGCTGCTCCCGCCGCTCGTGGTCTCGGTCTTCTTCGCGGTGAACCTCCGGATGGGCAGCGCGGGCCAGGCCCTGCTGCTGCTCGCGTCGAACGTCGTGTGCGTGAACCTCGCGGCCGTCGCGGTGTTCCTGATGAAGGGCGTCGCCCCGCGGACGTGGTGGGAGGCGAAGAAGTCGAAAAAGATGGCGGTGCGGGCGCTGGGGGTGTGGGTGATCCTGCTGGCGGTGCTGGCGGGGTTGATCGTGCTGTCGAATCTCACGGGGTGAGCCACGCCGCCCCGCAGCCTTCGCAGACGAGGCAGCCGTCGTTCTCGGGTTCACGTGGAAGCTTTTCCGGACACGACGGGCAATGCCCGTTCGCGAGCAGCGCTCTTCGCATCCGCTCGGCACGGAGCGTACGCGCGGTCGCCCAGAGCGCCGTCTGGAAGAACAACAGCGTGACCGCCCCGACGATCCCCATCGCGTACCAGCCGTTGCTCGTCACCAACGGGCCGATGATGCCGGTGCCGAGCGACACGTAGACGAGCCATCCGACAATGTAGGAGATAGTGCCGCTCCATCCGCTCGCCTTGAACGCGGTCACACGTCGGCCTTCCAGCTCACCGATAAGCGAGGCACGCAATCCGAAGTGCGGGTGGCCTCGCCAACCGCGGTCGTCGTAGAGAGACCGACTCGTCCAGGGGAATGGGTGCTCCCAGCGCGGGTGTTCGTCGCGACGGCGTCTGTCGGCGCGCCACGCCGCGCCGCACTCGGGGCAGACGAGGCAGCCGTCGGGCTCGGTGTTGAGCCCACGCATCTCGTACCCACACGACGCGCACCGGCCCGTCGCGATGAGCGCCCGCGCGATCTCCTCCCGATGAAACCCTCGCCGGTATCGCCGCTGCCCGAGCAGAATCGCAGCCGCAAGGGCGATGAAGGCGAGCACGATCCCGCCCAGCATGGCCCCGGCCGAGACGAGTACAAGCCACGCGAAGAGCAGGAACAACGCGAGCTCGATGAACGCGAACGCGATGGATGCGATCGCCAGCCAGCGCCCGGAGCGCTGCCGTGTCTCAAGGGCCTCACGCACGACGCCGAGGGAGCGGTTGTCCGTATCGAAGGCTGCGGCAAACCATCGCTTGCGCGGGGGATCGTACAGATCGCGGGCAGCGCCGCGGGCGTCTTGGATGCGGATGGGGAGCATGGCGACTGTCCTCAGTACCAGCCAGGCTTCAATTCTTCTGCGCCGCGCCACCCCCAGTCACGCAAGACTTCGATTGCAGTTTGCAAGTCCAGTTTGTCAGTGCAATCGGGACCGCTCATAACAGAGTAGCCGTATCCCTCTGCCACTAGATCGTCTGCGACTGTTCGAATGTGATTCCAATCGTGGACAACCACCGTCCCTTTGTCACCCCCAAATTGACACACGACAAGTGGAACACAACGAACTATGCCAGACGGGATTTCGACATCGGCATCGATCAGAATTTTAATATCAAGCTCACGCGCGGTCTCAATCCACTGGCTCTGAAACTCAGACATGTCAATTCCACAAGGGGCAGGAGACCAACTCACAACTCCGGCGCAAACCCCCGCCGCATCGTGTTCTCACAGCTCGCCCGCGGCTCCACGAACTGGAGGAGGTAGTCCCGCCCGCCCGCTTTGGAGCCGACGCCGGACATGCCGAAGCCGCCGAAGGGCTGGCGGGCGACGAGGGCGCCGGTGATGCCCCGGTTGAGGTAGAGGTTGCCGACGCGGAACTCGCGTTTGGCGCGCTCCAGGTGGGCGGGCTTGCGCGAGAAGACGCCGCCGGTGAGCTTGTAGGGCGAGTCGTTGGCGATGCGGAGGGCGTCGTCGAAGTCCTTGGCGCGCAGGACGGCGAGAACGGGGCCGAAGATCTCCTCGCGGGCGACGTCGTGCTCGGGCTTCACGTCGGTGAAGATCGCGGGGGCGACGTAGGGCTTGCCGATCTGCGCCTCGAGGCCGTCCGGGACCTTCATTTCGAGGGCGCAGGTGCACTGGTCTTTGCCGCGTTGGATGAAGTGGCGGCACTTGCTCGCGGCCTCTTCGTCGATAACGGGGCCGATGTCCGTGCCCGGGAGCTTGGGGTCGCCGACGACGAGGGCGCGCGTGGACTCGACGAGGCGCTTCGCGAACTCCTCGTACACGCCGCCGCCGTCGTCCACGCAGACGACGCGGGACGCGGCGGAGCACTTCTGCCCCTGGAACCCGAAGGCGCTGGCGCGGACGCCCAGGACGGCCTCGTCGAGGTCGGCGCTGGTGTCGATGATGACCGCGTTCTTGCCGCCCATCTCGCAGACGACCTTCTTGACGAACGCCTGGTGCTCCGGCGTCTCGCCCGCGGCCTTGATGATGTCGAGGCCGACGGCCTTGGAGCCGGTGAAGGCGAGCACGGCGACGCGCGGGTCGCGGACGAGGGCGGCGCCGCACGTCTCGCCTTTCCCCGGCACGAAGTGCAGCGCTTCTTTCGGCACGCCGGCGTCCCAGAGGATCTCCGCCATGATCTTCGCGATGCCCGGCGTCTGCTCGGCGGGTTTGACCACGACGGTGTTGCCCGTGACGAGCGCGGCCGTCGTCATGCCCGTGCAGATGGCGAGAGGGAAGTTCCAGGGGGAGATCACGCCGGTGACGCCGCGCGGCGTGTACCACTGCTCGTCGAGCTCGCCGATGAACAGGCCCATGCGCTCGCGGGTGAAGAGCGGGACGGCGCACCTCGCGTAGTACTCCATGAAGTCGATCGCTTCGCAGACGTCCGCGTCGGCGTCGACCCAGCACTTGCCGTTCTCCTTGATGATCACGCCCGAGAGCTCGTCGCGCCGGGCGCGCATGATGTCGGCGGCGCGGACGAGCATGTTCGCGCGCTCGACGGGGTCGCGGTCGCGCCACGTCGGGAAGTACGCGTCCGCCGCGGAAATCGCCTTGTCGATGTCCTCCACCGTGCCGTCGTTGGCGACCTGCGGGACGGTCGCCTGCTCGATGCCGGCGGTGAACGCGTCGCGCTGGTCGGCGCGGGAGAAGTCGCGCAGGGGCTCGGTGAAGAAGGCGCGGCCGTCGCCGACGCCCTCCACGGCGGGCGAGAGCTTGTGGCGCTCGGGGGCGACGTTGCTCAGGTCGCCCGATCCCTTGCCGTTGTCGTGATGGGGCGAGGCGAGGAGGCGGTCGGTGTCCGCGTCCTCGAGGAAGCCGGCGCGGAGCCAGGATTCGTTGGAGGTGTTCTCCAGCAAACGGCGCACGAGGTACGCCATGCCAGGGATCATCTCGCCGACGGGGACGTACTCGCGGATGCGCAGGCCCGAATCGACCGCCGCGCCCTTGAGCTGGTCGGCCATGCCGTGGAGCATCTGGAGCTCGATGGCCTCCTTCGGGAGGTTGCGGCGTTCCATGCCCTCGAGGGCCGCGGCGATGGAGCGGACGTTGTGCGAGCCGAGGGCGAGCTTCACACCCCCTTCGTTGGCCTCGCGCGGGGTTGAATCGAGGAAGACCTCCGCCATGCGCTCGAAGCAGGCGTCCGTCTCGTGCTTGGCGGACCAGACGGGGCAGGGCCAGCCCATCTCCTCGGCGTGGATCGTCTCGTAGTCCCAGTACGCGCCCTTGACGAGGCGGACCGTCACCTGTCGCCCCGTGCGCTTCGCCCAGTCGGCGATCCGCTTCGCGTCGTCCACACCCGAGCGCAGGTACGCCTGCATCGCGAGGCCGGCGTGGAAATCCACCTGCTCGCAGCAGCGCTCGAAGAGCGTGAGCGTGAGGTCCTTGAAGGCGAACTGCTCCATGTCGAAGTTGATC